TATCCCCTGTGTGCCTTGTCGACTCAGTTATCCGATGTGCACCATAAGGAGGTTGGCAATCGAATTTTGCACATTGTGTAAGTGCGGGCGTATGTAAAACATACACACATACACACGGTGTGCAAAATCCGATCGCCAACCTACCTATAGTGCACACCGAATAATATATAATTTTTTCAATAATTCATTCATTTAATTCATAATTTTTTTGAGCAGTGTATATATATACATATATATATATATATAATATATATATATATATATATATAAATATATATAAAGAGAATTGTATATTCCTAATATTTTATAAATATTTATAGTGCTTTATACATACGTCTCTACTTTCAGAGTATAGTTTGTAACATAAAAGATAAAATCTTTTATAATATAAATTGTAGTTGTAATATTGATTTTTTTGTAGAAACAATAAATATTAAGAAGAATTTAAACTCAAACACGAAAGGATCCGAACAAACACCAAGTACATCAACGCATAACTTGCAAAATAACACTAATGACATATGCAAAGACGCTTTTTTTAGTAATGCCCCTCATTTATTCACTGATAATAATGGTATTTTTTTGAGAATTGAAAATGGTCATTGTTAAATAAATAGATGTAATATTTTAAAAGTAACATTATTTTTCTATAGATAATGCAAAATATTTTAAAGAAATTATTCGCCAGCAAAGTTACTTCAAAACTCAGTTGTGGCAGATGGCAGATGATTTGAGAAAAATAAAAGATGCTATAATAACCGGAAATTTGATGCGACAAAATCAAGATAACCAGCGGCAAAATGAAAAATCAATTTATCATTCTTTTGATCTACCATTGAAAACTGTGGAAGATATTGAAGAGGCTGTGGAGCAATTTTTAAAAATAAAAGAGAACTTTAAACGTTCGGTAAAATAAATATGCTTTACATAAATTTTACAAAACAAGAATTTAATATTATATTGTAATATGCGTTTTTATTACAGACTACAGATACATGTTCAATAGGAGGCACATCTCCGTACAATTTTATAAAACGAAATTTATGCCGACTGATTAGTAATGAACTTGCACAAAAATACAGTTGGTTGGGCGCTAAACTTAAAAGAAAATTTTGTAACCTTCAAATTACAAAAATGTTATTAGGTAAATATATTATTTATAAAAATATTTTAAATTTTAATATATTTTCGTAGTAATAAGTATATGTATATTTGTATTCACTATTAGTAAATAATAATTCATTAAAAAGATAAATAGATTGATCAATTATATAACATGTATAAAATTACTTTTGTTACAGCTGCCGGTATTGAATATTCTAATTCGACGTACACTGAAATAGAACTAGAGAAATCAATACAAAAATGGTTAAAAAGGGCTAAAGAACGATATGATGCTGAAAGGAAAAAGCTTGAAGCGCATGAAAATGATCAATAGTTATATAACGTGATTTTTAAAGAACTATCACTTATAATTTCAATTTAGAATTAAGAGATATAAAGAAGACTGATTAATTGCTTTTATTTTTGTTTTTATATAAATTATAAGATATATACTTATATCTCTTTCTATAATATTTGTTAATCATATTGGAAGAGCAC